GGAGTAAAGTGAACTTCGCACCACAGTGCAACACAATCCTCCGGAATAATCACTATCGTCATATCGTATTGCTATTGCAATCAAAGTATATGGAGATAAAGGAATGAAATTTTCTTCGTGTCACCAAAATAAGAATTTTTATTAATAATTTATTATTTATTGATGATTTCGAAAGTTATTCATAGAATCTAAAGAAAAATTATTTTCAAAAACTACATAATTTTGCTAAATATAAAATCTTTCTGCAAATCTATCTTTCTTGCTTTGGTGCGCAGTTTTTCATGCTATTTTATTTAATAATATTATGATATATCTGAATATTAAGTTGGTGCAATATTAGATATTTAAACAACGTTGTTATATAATGTAAACTCGGGCATTTCTGTTGTTGTTAAGATATGCAAAATATGTTGATTAATTTTGGAAAGAATATATATCAATGATTCAACGATGACCCAGCAAATGTCAAACCAGAAAAATTATTTGTAAAAAGTAAAGGTAAAAGAACACAATTAAATTTTCAAAAAGTAAAAACTGAACTGTCGCACAAGCATAACTTTAGAGTATAAAAATATGTTAAAAAATATAATAATTTAATTTATAATAAATAAAAAATTATTATAAATAGATCATGTAAATATATATTATTTAAAATTATTTACTTTTAAAATAACTTTTGTTTTTAAAATTCATTTTAGCTGCACCAACCTAATAATTTTTATAATCTTAATAATTTAATTATTTAGTTAAAATATATATTGATGAGCGTTGCTCCAATATATATCTTATATTATATCACATCGTATCTTGATTATTTACATTCGCTCAGCTCCTTCAAATATGATCTCCCACGATTGTAATCAATTGTTTTCGCTACATTCTAAAATCGTTACCTCTATCGTGATGATCATTCATTTTTAACGATTAAGCATAAGATATTTTGATTAAACATATGTTTAATTAAATAACTACATCTTATTGGAATTCAATTAGCTGATTAGCTATTAATTAACCTGTGATTCATTTATTTTTAAAAAGAAAAAGTAGAAATAAAAAATTTTCTACAATAATATCGAATTCCCCGAAATCAAACATTCAACGATGATAGCTTAAGCGTTTTCATTATGCGTATTATGTGTTTTAATCTTTTCAAATTCATCGATACAAAAATATCGAAAAAATAAAATAGAGAAACGGCAATTTCGTGTTGCATACGGTTTTTGTATGCAAAATTGCCTCCTATTACGAAGCCAGGCTAAATTATGCATTACTATTTGCACGTCATCTATGTTAATCCAACCAAAAAAAAAAAAATAAAATTTCCTGACAAAAGATTAATTTTTTAATTTTGTTCTCTTCCTTTTATCTCTTTTTTCAAACGAAGGAATTGGTAAACTTTGATTTTGAGTATTAAATTTGTGCTTTTAGTTTGAAAATTTTCATACTTAGGCGTTAATTTAATTTTATACTGATTATCTCTTATTTTATAATTAATCTATATTTTTATCTTATTATTGAGTTCACTTTTTCTTTATATTATAATCAAAAATTAATAAATTAGGATGGTATAACCATAAACTGATAATTTACAAAACATAAAAATAACATAAAAATACAAAAGACTTCACAGACAAAAGCGATTAAAATATTTAAGATATTTACATCAATATTTATAGAATAGAATAGAATTAGTAAACTAATGTAAAATAGAATAGAATGAAATTAAAGCGATTTCTTTATTTATAATATTATATAAAAAATATAATTTATAATATATAATTATTTTAATTATTTTTATTTCACTTTTGTGTCACTTATTATTAGTGACATTTAAGTGACAAACAAAATCATACTGACATTATGTTATTATTCTGTGTTCCACATGGAGATTTCTTCATACTTCTTTAGAAAATCGAAAATTGAATGGTATTTGGGAAAATATTTGAAAAGAATAATATATTAATGATTCAACGATGACTCAGCAAATGTCAAAAAAGAAAAATTATTTGCAGAAAGTAAAGGTAAAAGAACACCATTGAATTTTCAAAAAGTAAAAACTGGACTGTCGCACAAGCATACTTTATAAGTATAAAACTACGTTCAAAAATACGTTAAAAATTTTATTTATAATAAATTTATAATAAATAAAAAATTATTATAAATAACCTAATACGTTACACAATAGTGGCACATAAAAAATCGAATCTTCATCGGCTATATGTAAAAAGACTTTTTTCCTAACCCAATATTTTGTTAGATTAATCCTTGTTCTTTTTTATAAATGTACAGATATATGAATGGGAGCTGCGCGTACACTTATGACACAGCAAACTAATACTAAATATTTTATTTTGATGAAAAGTTATTCGTATACGAAAGAAATAATTTCGTTTTTATTTATTTCCCTGATATAAATGTATAGGAATTTCTGATGTTTAAAAATAAAAACGACATCAAAGTTATCTCTTTTTATTTTATTTATTAATTTAAATACGATTTCTTGAAAAAATTGTAAAATAATTATTTAAGTAAAAGTGTTAAAAATGTTCCATTTATAAGACACATAAAATCAATGCTTTTAATAATAATAAGTAATAATTAAGTAATAATAAATAATAATAAGTAATAATAAGTAATAATAAGTAATAATAAGTAAAATAATTGAGTAATGTCAATCAATCAAAAATCCTATAGTCATTATGTTGATACAAAAAGTAACGTAGCTAATAAAACAAACTACAACTAGTTCTTATGACAAACAATAAGTTGATTGTCTCCTTTGTCGTACATTGTCGTAAAATATATTGACACGCCTACAAAATCTGTCCCCACCAGGGGGACAGATTAAAAAGTTGTCCCCACCATTGTCCCTACTTTTCAAACATAAAGATTGAGAAGTGGGGAACAGAAAAGAAGAGGAGATTTAGTTTAAAATTTGACTACGCCACGTGCTTCAGAAATATAAGCGACAGTGCCGAATATTTAAACAAAAGGAAAATTTATTTTAATTTAAGAAACATTTTAGTGCGCAATTATTAGTATTGTTAATTGTGTCCGAACTTTGGAATTTTTAAAATGA